CGGTGGGGCAGCAAGACCATTGACGATAGCAAGGAAAGTCCAAGTCGGGTAAACTGAATCTGGACGGTTCATGTCATGAGRATCAAACTCTGGCATGATTTTCAGACATGTAATGGCCAAGAACATTACACAGAAAGAGGTCCCATCCAGGAAGAAATGCAAAAGGTGGAAAATCTCAAAGAATTTAAATGACACGAAGATTCCATCTTGTTATGTAAAAGACAATCATTTATATTTGGAAACATTTTTAAAAGGATTATTTTTCCATTGTTTAGGAAATTTACTGAAATTTACTGAATTTTCTTTTGAATACAAATGCAATGTACGTTTACAGGAAGCGAGATCACGTTCAGTCGTTTGACGGAGCATTCTCACTTTTCTTAATTCACCATAATTATACAGGCAGTAAACGTAATTTGAACCGATTAATTTTTGGGCAGAAACTTTCGTGTTTAAGTTAATAGAGAAAGATCACCTTGTGGGTGTGTTTGGCACTTTTGCTCAGTGTCCTGGTGCCGTCGCCTAGAAAAAGAGTTTGTTCGAAAATTGCTTAATTCTCTAATTACATTTTAGTGTATCTTCTGAAAGATTCTTCAGTTTTTATGCCAAGCTGTAATACTCTATTTTCGAATTCAAAGCGAATGCCATTGTTTTAATTATTCGACATCAGATTCTCTTGCGCAACACCAAAATTTACAAAGAAATGTATTCAGTTTCTTTGTAAAATGTTAAATTTGAGAAGCCTTATCTTCTCAAATATCCAACGAATTTATTCTCCAACTTCTGAAATCTAGTAATTTTAGGCTTTTCTTTTCAGTGGTGGTAATGATCTTTTAAAATGTTTTAATTCGACACGAACCCCTTCACTTTCCTAATGGTGTATCTATAAGATGGACGTTTTAGGCAATATTCTTTTTAGTTTTCTTTTTCTTTTTAGTTTCATTTCAGTTTGAATGCGTTTTTGCTTTTGTAACGTCTTTGTGTTCCCTGAAGATGACCGCTTAGGTCGAAAGCTTGGAAAGAAGTTTAAAATTATTCATRGTTGATTAAACAAACTGCGTATAAATATGAAAAATACAACCAACAAAGATCTTTTAAAATATTCTTTTTACCCATCATGATGCTTTTCTGTAGAAACGGTAAAAGAGCTTATTATTAACAAAAAAAAACATTATCGCTTAGTAAAACTACGATAGTTAAGGGTTTCGCTAAAAGATTGGCTACTTTGTATTATTAAGTAATGGTCCGAGTAAGAAGCAGGCAAGCAAACGGCAATGGAATGCATGAAGGTGCTAATTTTGTATTGCATAATCCATCCATCTCATTGGTTAAAACATTAAAATCGGACATAATTTCAAAAGTAAGCGCATTTTTTAATATTTTATTCAATATCTGATTCTAACTTCATAAAAGCTTTCCTTAGCTTTAATATTAATAGCAATTCTATGTGGGGAACATAGCAAATTATAAGCATCTTTTGGCTATTGTTTTGAGTGCTTATGATTGGACAAGATCTTTTAATACAAAAGAAACTTTGTTTCAAAACAGAATTTATCCACATTTTATTTTAAAAATGTGTTACCCATAGATTGATATATAATCAGCGTGAAAACCAAGACATTCGTATGTGGGGAAGTTGCAATTGCCGCAGAACAATAGAAAGTTGCCTGCTTTTTGCGCGCATTGTTTTAACCTTACTAATGTGTATGTTTGTGATTTGTGACAATACAAGGATGAGTACAACAACGCTAAAAAAAATTTCTTAAAAGCTTTTTTTTTTGTGTGTTTTTTTTTCCTTAAAAGACAGACACTCTGTTTTCTAACGAATTTAAGGTTGAATTCGTTTTTCTATTCATTTGAGCTTTGCCTTTATTCAAAGGACATCAAAATATGAACAACTGAACATTTGCCTTTATTCAAAGGACATCAAAATATGAACAACTGAACATTTATGTATGTATTATGAATGTAAACTGACATACAAGATTTTATTTATTTATTTTTATTTATTTTTTTCAAAAGGCAGACACTGTTTTTTCTGACGATTTGAAGGTTGAATTCGAGAAAGTTTTTTTTTATTCTTTTGAGCTTTGCCTTTATTTAAACGACATCAAAATATTAACAACTGAACATTTTTATTAACATAAATGTAACCTGATATACAATACTTTATTTATTTATTTCTTTATTTTATATTACGTATCTATCGAATACGCAATGCACCATAGGATATGTTTGGGACAAAACCTGATGGATTTCTTTTGTTTTCTCTAGAAAGTATGTGACTATATAAATCATACTTCACGCAAAATTTGTTTTATGGGCGGTTTTAATGAATTCAATCTAGTGCTTTTAATGTTTGCACTCCAAGTTTTAAACTGCAGTTACAGAATTATTCCAAATTTGTTCTGGATATTTTGATTTTTTACAATTTCACGGACTTGGTGCGTGCACTCTACAAGCATTGTGTTGTCCTCTATATTTTAATATATCGGAAATACATAGTGTAAACGCACACAACCCGTGAAACGAATAGTAGAGAAAAGTTATTATAGAGTACATTCATTCTTTTTTAGTATTCACGAATTAAAGGCAGCTGCTATACTATATATTTTGATAGAATGAAGTCAACAAACCCGTGAAGTAGATATTGCACTAATACACGTTAGTACACTTAATTGCATTGTTTTTGTAAATGAGTCTATTTGACTATCACACTTTAATAATCGAGTTTTGTTTCGCGGGTTTAGAGTGGTTTTCATAAACCCGTGAAACAAAGTGTAATARTTAGAGTTTAATTGATCGTAATAGTCATGTTGAGACAAAAAAAAAACAAAAGAGTCAAAGTGTAATAGCGATAAATACGCTAAAGTGTGTTTCACGAGTTAATGAAAACCACTCTAATGACCACACTCTAGAGTGCTATCAGTAAACTCGTGAAACAGACTAAATAAATAACTAAATTGTGCAAAATAGTGATTATTAAACAAAAAAATACAAAATTACCAATGTTTCACGCTTTTACTAAATGCATTCTATGCAAACACTAAAACCATTAAAAACTTTAGTAAAGAAATATTTATAAATTGTATTGAATTTTAATTCAAATTCAAATTTGTTGTTTATTGACTATGCGATTTGGCAATATTTATTATTACGTTAACGCTTTTAGGATTTTCACTTTACTTTATTTTGCATTTATGTTTTTGGTTTAGTCAAATCGAGTAGAGAATTATCTTTATATCTATATTTGGTGCTATAACTTCATACTGGAGATACTGAAACAGACTAAATAAATAACTAAATTGTGCAAAATAGTGATTATTAAACAAAAAAATACAAAATTACCAATGTTTCACGCTTTTACTAAATGCATTCTATGCAAACACTAAAACCATTAAAAACTGTAGTAAAGAAATATTTATAAATTGTATTGAATTTTAATTCAAATTCAAATTTGTTGTTTATTGACTATGCGATTTGGCAATATTTATTATTACGTTAACGCTTTTAGGATTTTCACTTTACTTTATTTTGCATTTATGTTTTTGGTTTAGTCAAATCGAGTAGAGAATTATCTTTATATCTATATTTGGTGCTATAACTTCATACTGGAGATACTGACTTTGGAGTTTTTAAACTGAATTTGGAGTTTTTTTGGGGTTTTTTAAAAGTATCTTATCAATATACTGAAAAATTTCTTAATCTGCTGTTTTTATTGTGATGCAAAATTTATATTAAATCTCAATTGCAAATGTATAAATAGTTGAATAGGAATGGGCGATAGGGAGGAGTACCTCCCCCCGACGCGCCTCATATTACTTATCAGACTGGGGGGTATTCCCCCCGCTTTTAGCCAATAAACCCTTTTAGCGATCTCTTTTACGCTGTGTTAGCCTCAAAACCATGTAATAAATTCTTTTATCATATAATTATCTATGAAATACCTATATTTCTCTATTTYGTAAAATTGATATTTTCGCCACGCTCACTCGTGAGAGATCTTTTCAACACTCGAAGATAAAATCCGTATCTCCGCGCGCCCATGTAATATCCTCTATTTATTCACAACAGCCCGTGCAAATGCAAGAGATCTKTRAGTRTAGAAGACAAYGGAAMTAGTTTGAAATCTCACGAGTTTTATCTACATTTCTGAATATTTTAGCATACAATTGAGGCTAACACAGTGTAAAAGAGATCGCGAAACTCGACTATTCAKTTTTCATAACTGTCCTTGGCCTGCGTTCTTCGAACACAACGAGAGCGTTRGTTTGGCTGAACGCAGGCTAAAGTGTCCTTGGCTGTCCTATTTTCGGATGCAAGTCTTTGATGCTTTAAGGCCAGAATATTAAATTGGTTCTATCGTTTACAACTTTTCGTCAGTATAATAGCGTTGTACCACGGCTTAATTCCGTGTCAAACGTCAAATCTCACACGTGCCGAAGTCATTACTTTGCATTAACTTCAACACAAATGAGACAGACGCGGCGTTTAAGCAATAATTATATATCCTTTTACATTAAATCTAATGATTCTACAATATGATATTAGGACAGCAACATTGAATCAGTCTTCACGGTTGTTATTCTAGATTCATGATTGATTGAGTCAAAGATCAACGGTTTCGCGTTGGTTCAAGTATTCCATATAAAGGATCAGGTAATCCGTTAAATTTCTAAAGGCCCGTTTACGCTAGCAAGTTTTTCGTGCGACACGAACTGCAAATTTTGCGGCGATTTTATCCCTCACGTGAACGGTCTATATTTAACAATTAGACCTCGAGGTCGAGTGGACTACGAGCTAATAGYCCATGAGGCCGAGTCCGCGAGGCCGAATGGGCTATTAGCTCGTAGTCCACGAGGCCGAGAGGTCTAATTGTTTTAGTATAAACATACTAATCGGTCAAATAATGAAAACAAATTGAAATATCCTTAAAATAATTTATAATTTATAATTTATTTATTTTGATTTTCCCGCGAGTGGTCTATCACAAATTAGACCATTAGTAGAGTARCCAATCACAGCGCAGTATGAGTGATAGACGATTAGTATGTTTATACTAAAACGTGATATAAATTTACGGTGATTTCACATACATAGAGTGAAAATCGAAGCGATTTGCATTAAAATTCCGAGCATGTACGAATTTGCTTTGACCTTTAGGGTTGCTATAAAATCGCCGCAAAACATGGCGCCTCGTTTCGCGCGAGAAATTTGGTCATGTAAAGTAAGCTTAATTTTTCGTGAGATTTGGCTTGATATCGTTGATGATATCGTTTATCACATTATATTCTTTAAGGCATACATTCTTTGGTATTGTATTTTAACGGCCGCTTGTTCTTGCGCGATTTTAAAATAGAACTTAAATTATGAAATACAAATCATGTTGCACTGTGGTTTAGCTTATATACACTATATATGGCTGCATGAAGAAAAAGATCTTTGTAGTGAATCTAGACCACAATGCAGTGCGTCATTCTATGTCAAGGAAAACCCCTGTATGTCTTTARTACAATTAGTATCACAAAGGGGTTTTAATACTCTGCCTTGATCCCAGTTTTAATATAGATTCTATATACCTCGTATACTTTGCATTTAAAAGCCATGACATTTCACCTTAGAATATAATATTTCACGAATTATTGTTGGAATAGTCCTACTCAAACCTTGAAAACCTGACAAAAGACTGGATTGGTRATCGTATTTCTGATCTATTCCTAAAAATTCCTCACTCGACTTTTTAAGACGTTGAAAGTCGTAGGTGGGGTTGGCTGTCATAACACTCCAACTTAAGACAACTCTGTCACAAAATATTCTCCTTGACAACCCMCTAAACCGTTGCTTTGATCTTAATCTGTCAGAATTCCAGCGAATATTACTCAGGATTAATTAGAGGGTGTTATGGAGGTGTAAATTAAAAAAATGGGATCTGACAGTTTTTAAGCGTAGAAAATGGAATTTTAAGTAAAACTAGGATTGGGATTTATAATGAAAGCATGAAACAATAGCTAATTAAAAGCTGTAGATAAGTCACGTCATTTCTTAAGTCGTCCGTTAAATGAGCCAATGAGCAAAATGACAGACATTATAATAGCTGAACCTAAATTCTCATCTTTATGAAATATATGCCACCTCGTTGATGGGCGTTTGTCGAGATAGGGTCCCCTTTGTGGAACCAAACTATGTTTTAATTTGTTTAAATCCTCCAGGAAAAAAGAAAAGGGAAGAGTTTGACTCTACTATATCTAGGGGCACCCTATCTCACCCTATCTATCGCGCAGGTCAAAAAAGCGTAATTCCAAAAAGTAATCTAGTAAAATTCTGATATCAAGATCTGACACGCTAAAAGCACAGTGGAACGAACGTGTTGTGAAACGTCAATTTTAAGTAATGAAACGTAGTTATCACGGACTTGCACCTGTTCCCTGTGTTATTCCCGATCTCGCTGAATCCATCAATCTGCTCTTTTTATTTTCTTTTAGAAATAGTGTAAGTCTGTCCTTTGGTAGCTGCTCATTGTAAGGTTTGTTTGTCCATATAGTGAATTTAAGAGCACGTCGATACGTTGGCAGCCTCCAAGCGTAAATAAACGGATCAAGAGCTACCTTGATGAATAACATCATGTCACTGACACGAAGAAAAATATGTATGTTTACATTTTCTTGCGAGGATTTGCYAGTGTCAAAGAAATAAACGTAGAGGACGATGTTGTGAGTCGACGCTGATAGAAGTAAAATTCCTGCTAAATAAAATGTAACAATTGTAAATTGACGCTCATTAAGTCGATTCTTGTTTTCCTTGTTTCTGCTTCTTGTTAAGGATCCATTGCTTTCGGGTTTATCATAGAAACTGCGTCTTCTCCAGGTATAGCTACGAGTTAGGTGCCTTCTGAACGATAAGTAGAGCAARGCATGAGCAACTCCCAAGAATATGGAGATTGTAGACGCGTGTAAAATAAGGTCGATTTTTAAATACGTGTACAAATCAATGCCAGAAAATTGCAGAAGACTAAAGCATATAAAATACAACCAGCTCATAAAAACACAAACTACAACTCGGTTCTTGGTGACTATCTTCTTGTACTTGTGTGGAAACGTGATGGCCGTGTATTGAGATATCGATAAAGCTAGAACTACTATAAACGATGAACTTATGGCTATTGTTGATATTATACCACCGATTCGATAAATCATCATGAAGCCACTGGAAGGTYTGCAGCGAGCTTTCAACCCACAATGGCTATTATGAGCCAGATATTTCAGGATAAAGGCGGGTTCTACTACTAACCCGGTCACCAGGTCAGACAGTGCAAGCCCAACTATAAAGTACGTTGTTGGTGTACGAAAACACCTTAGTGGATCCTTGTAGATGGCRGATAGAAGAAGAGAGTTGGCAGCGACTGTTAGAGGACTCAACACAACCAATATCACTGCTGTAGCAAGTTCAACTCGAAAATAGTTCGCAAAATTATTATCAACGGAATTCGTAGCGTTAAAAGGGGACCGCATAGTCCCATTCAACCCCATGCTAAGTCTTTTACTGTTTCTGTAGTTAAAGCAGCGGTGTTATATTAAGAATCATTATCACAGGTCGTCAACTTGAGACGTTTTGATTAAAAAACGACCGCGATTTGTAGAAATGACGAGGCGTGTTGTTAGTCACTTTCGCCGATCATTTCTCATCACCATTTTTWCCTTGACTTTTCAATTAATGATCACCGCATGTACTTATAAACCTTTGTTATTACRTTGGTTGGACAATTTCTTCCTTGTTGAAGCACTGCAAGTAAACAATGGTTATAATATTAATATTTGGGAATCGTTTTTRGGTTTTCGTTGAGCTAATCTTTCCTAAACAAATAAAAACCGCCGTACGGACATCAATGCCCAATCACTGACACCGTTTTTTTGATCCGATTTTGAATTTGARCAATGATATGTCTCTGTGTTGATTAAAAACAGATCGTTGTTAGAATAAACTACAGCGAAGCTCTATTTATTCTTTTAGGGAGCGATGAATGTTTGTAATGTTTAAGTTTAGGATGTACTTCATAGTAACTGTATTATCGCGGCTAAGCTACACCCAGAAAGGTCTTTCATTACATCGGCTAATGTTCTATCATATTCTWCGCTGGCTAGATTATTATTAGATTGTGTGAGGGTGGAAATTGTCATTGAAACTGGGTTGTTTTTCAAGCGTTTCAGGTGACATTCGTGTAAAATAATCATTCAAGTCCAACAATGTATGTTAGCACAGCTGCTTCTCACATGACTGCCAAATTCTACTTTGATTACAGATGAAACCTTGTTCCGACTAAACACGGTTCTTTTAGCAATTTTAAGTATTTAATCGGCCTATTTTCTGTCATAAAGCAGCTACACATGACAACACAAAAATGCAAGAACGTTCTCTARCAAATTCCAYAATAAATAATCTTTAATGGCGCCTTTCGGCCAATGACAAATGTGGACGTTAAAGATCGTCTACTACGCGATAATTCTTTATAAAATTTCGATGCGGTTGACAATTTAACGTCCGCATTTGTCATTGGTCGAAAGGCGCCATTAAAAATGTATTGTGAATTATATTTGAATTGTTCGAATTTCTTTCACTTGCCGACGGTGATTTCGAGGTTTTTAATCTGTTAAAACGTTTTAATAGATGCTACGAATTGCTTCCTGAGATTATTGCAATGAATGGCTCCGTCCATCACTAAACCCTATTCTTGAATCTTAGGCTTAATGGATTGATATATTGTAGATTTGACAGCAGAAAGTTTTCCAATATCGTTCAGCACTTGGTCTTTATGAAGGGGATCATTTAAACAAGAAAAAGAATAGAGCTTTCGCTAATTGTAATGGAAGCCTTCAGCGCACATGGGCGTTGAGTACCGAATCAGAATCAGTTTATTTTACAGTTTATTGAAATAAGATTTATAAAGGATGTTACATGGGCGCGGGAAGATACAGATTTTATCTTCGAGTGTTGAAAAGATCACTCACGAGTGAGCGTAGCGAAGAGTTTCAACACGAAAAGATGAAATTCGTATCTCCAAACGACCATAGGCCTTTTCTGAAATAGCATAACGCTTTGCATCGTGGTCTAGATTCGGTACAAACATCTTTTGTTCATGTGGCCAAATATGGTGTTGTTTGTACTGAAACTAGACCACAATGCACCATGATTTCGTATCTCAGAAAAGGTCTATGCAATTGCCCGTTCCGAAATTCAAAAAGGGACTGGTGACTAGTCACAAACTCGATACCGTTTGAAGCAATGAAAAAACAAACACAAGGACAAGAAAGAACATACTAAAATTAGTAACACACTCGTTCCGAGTCTCCTTTTGAATTTCGGAATGGCCGATATTCTGTTTATCATATAATTATATATGAAAGCAGATTTTGTCGTAAAATGCCTTTCTTACTTCCAATATATAGAGAAACCTCGAATATTGTGCACTTGAATGTTATTTTTGAACTTGAAAACACTAGCAGCTTTTCGAAAGAGAGAAATATAGGCACTGCATAGGTAATTATATGATAAATAAAATACTTAATCTCGTTGATTCTTCATAGTTTATTCGCAAGACCGAAAGGCATTGTTGCAACTAGACCCCACGTAATTTAATTAATTTATAAACCTAATAGCTTTCCACCGAAGAAACAGCGTAGTCACTACGAAACAGTGAAGA